ATCTTGCTCCAAACCTTTGTAACTTCTCTTCCTTTCCATCTTCCCTCTCTTCTTCTCTCTCCCCTTTTTACCCCCCTGTCTCTCCACCTCCATTTCCCTCTTCTGTATTCCCCTTTTCTGTTGCTTTCCAACATTATATCCACTTTTCAAATTATTTTCCCCCTTTTTGGCTGTTTTTTTTTTAGTCTTAAATTCTCCATTTTCTTTCCCCCCTTTCCCCTTTCTTCCCCACATAGAGTTACTTGTTCATTAAAGATGGCTTCTTCTTTATCCCAATCTTCTTGTTGCGCAGTCTTTTCTTGTTGTTCCTCATAGTTACAGATCTCCATTTCTAAAAATTGAAAAACGAAGCCAAAAGAGCCCTTTCCTTCTTGTGCATCTTCTTTATATTTTTTAAGTTCCTTTTTCAATTCATCCAGGAGTGATGCCATTGTAAAAAAATTTAAACAACCGCCCAATTGTTTTTAGTCATTCAAATATAATAACCAAAAATCCAAAAGTCACCAAGCAATCCAAATACACGCAAGCTGTTTCTTTTTACACTTTCTTCTTTTTTTCACTTTCTCTTCCTGGGGTTACTATTTAGTTGCAAAAGTCCAGTTAAAATGTATCTTTTAGAAATTTTATGGAGATTTTACTTTAGATTCTTTTGAAGTCCAGGCAATCTCCTCCCTCCAGATCCTGCCCTTATTCTTTTCCTCTCCCTTCCTGCTTATAAAAAAAAAAATTAGTGTCCAGAAATCTTTATTGTCCCTTTGGCATTTAATTATATTTCCAGCTTAATTGCCTATTGATGCCAAAGCGGATTTTTCCAATTTCTTATTCAGATCTCTTAGTTGTCAATGTAAGGAAGGAGAGAGAAGAAAAAAAAAACCTTTCCCTTTTCACGTTCTTTCGCTGCTTCCGACTCTTCGATGTTATCTTTTATAAAATTTAAATTCCAGGGTACCTTAGTTGTTGCTTTTTAACCCGGTCAGCCAAAACTTTCACTTCTTATCTTCCTCCTGCACTTTCTTTTCTGGTTGAGTGCTTCTTTGAGGTGGCCATTTCTGACCACCGCTCCTACCGCCTTTGGGAAAGGGAGTTTGGCCAGCTGAGGAGGAGTGATGTGGCTCTCCTCGACCCTGCTGGCAATCTCCCCACTCTTCACCACCTCTATGGGTTGGCTTAGCCCTGAAGCCAGCCGGCTCGGGGTGCTCCAGCGGCGAGCCCAGGCAGAAAACACGCACGATCGCGGATTCCTGCCTGTCACTGAAGCCCTTCAAACCGGAAGTTCCTAAAATATATTAACTTTTAAGAGTTGTTACATTTACTTATTTAAAAGTTTTATAAGCCATCTTTTAATACTGTCCTTTTAAAAGCAACATAGAAAAATATACAAATTATAAAAACTCTGTGATATCTACAGAAGATCCACAATGAAAAATTAAGATTAATGCAATGATAAAGAGACCCAATAGAATTCTGTTTTAAATATTGACCAAGTTAACTGGTCAATAATATACCCTAGCAGGCTTTACAGGTAGTCCTTGAATTACGACAGTTCACAAAGTAGTGGTTCCAAGTTACGTACCCCCCTCCCCCAAAAAAAAAATACTATCCAGGCCCAAAGTTATAAATATTGCAGTACCACAACAGTTGTTCATGCTCACAACCAACCGCAGAGATCTTGCAGTATGCCCCATGCCTATTCCCCCCAACAGGATCCACACAGGCATTCTTCTCCATTTGCAATTTTTCCAGTTGGCTTCTGACAAAATCAATGGGGGAAATCGGATTCACTTACTGATCTTATGATTCACTGAACACCATGGCAATAAAGATCATAAAATTAGGTGTGTCTCACTTAACAATCACCTTGCTAGCAATAGAAGTTCCAAACCAAGTTGTGGTTTTAGGCACAGGTTGTAGACAAGGGCTATCTGTGCAATTTAAAAAAAATATTTTTAAGGATTTGAGGAAGATTCTAATCAAAGAATTAAATAAAATAACATATCAGATGTTACCATGTTACTAGATTGAATTAGCTGATATTTGTACAAAGTTTGTGGTAATATAGTGAACACTAATCCTTCAAAAGGGGGTTATCCAGCAAATAGGACCTTATAATATCAGTGCTATAATGCTAAACACTGCTTTCATTTGTGGGCATCGGAGTTGGTTTGACTCTTTTTAGCACAGTAGAAGATAATAACATTGAGAGATGCGGTGGCCGAGTGATAAAGACGCTCACCTCTATCCCGGAAAGTTAAAAATTTAATCCTAGGTAGCAGCAGTTATTTTTTCTCCTAGGATGCAAAGAAAAAATATCTGCTGCGAACTCCACATTGCATCAGGAAGGGCATCCAGTCAGTGTTTACTGATGCAACTCCACTCAGCTCCATCTAGTTGGCCCGACTGTACCCGAATTAAGGATTTACAGGATCATAAAATGGGTGAATATAATATAACTGTTTACTTTTACACAATAATTACAGGATACTAACCACTCCTATAACAACAAACTTATCTAACCTGTCCTCAGGTGCTTTGGAGAATAACTTGACCCCCTCTTCTTTATGGCAGCCCCTGAGATATTGGAACTGCTATCACTGCTAGCCCTTCTTTTCCTGTCTAGCTTGATAAATATGGATTGAATTTAATTTCTGAATGCTATAAAAACTATAATGGTAGAGTAAATGAGACTAAATCAAATTCTTAGTGAATGATTCAGCAATTAGCATTAACACAAGAATATATGATATCCCGTAGTTGTTTAAAACCTTCAAGAATAAATAAATAAATAAATAAATATTGCAGTGACATTAGAGGTATGTTGGTACAAGGTGTATATCTGAATTTTATAAGCAGACAATCCTAACTTGGTGCCTGAAAACTTAAATGATATACATAAAATATTAAACAGCTTATATCATGCAGTTGGGACAATGATTCCATAAAAGGAAAATGGATGAAAAGAATTTAAAGCATGTAACTATTGACAGACACATTGTGTTTGTATGTGTATGCCTGCTTTGAGGAATACAGGTGAAACTCGAAAAATTAGAATATCGTGCAAAAGTTCATTTATTTCAATAATGCAATTTAAAAGGTTAACGTAATACATGAGATAGACTCATTACATGCAAAGCAAGATAGTTCAAGCTGTGATGTGTCATAATTGAGATGATTATGGCTTACAGCTCATGAAAACCCCAAATCCACAATCTCAGAAAATTAGAATATTGTGAAAAGGTTCAATATTCTAGGCTCAAAGTGTCCCACTCTAATCAACTAATTAAGCCATAACACCTGCAAAGGGTTCCTGAGCCTTTAAATGGTCTCTCGGTCTGGTTCAGTAAGAATCACAATCATGGGAAAGACTGCTGAGCTGACAGTTGTGCAGAAAACCATCATTGACACCCTCCATAAGGAGGGAAAGCCTCAAAGGTTAATTGCAAAAGAAGTTGGATGTTCCCAAAGTGCTGTATCAAAGCACATTAATAGAAAGTTATGTGGAAGGGAAAAGTGTGGAAGAGAAAGGTGTACAAGCAGCAGAGATGACCGCAGCCTGGAGAGGATTGTCAGGAAACAGCCATTCAAAAGTGTTGGGGACTTTCACAAGGAGTGGACTGAGGCTGGAGTCAGTGCATCAAGAGCCACCACACACAGATGGATCTTGGACATGGGCTTCAAATGTTGTATTCCTCTTGTCAAGCCGCTCCTGAACAACAAACAACATCAGAAACGTCTTACTTGGGCTAAAAGAAAACAGAAGTGGCCTGTCGCTCAGTGGTCCAAAGTCCTCTTTTCTGATGAGAGCAACTTTTGCATCTCATTTGGAAACCAAGGACCCAGAGTCTGGAGGAAGAATGGAGAGGCATTGCAAGATGCTTGAAGTCCAGTGTGAAGTTTCCACAGTCTGTGTTGATTTGGGGAGCCATGTCATCTGCTGGTGTTGGTCCACTGTGCTTCATTAAGTCCAGGGTCAGCTCAGCAGTCTACCAGGAGATTTTGGAGCACTTCATGCTTCCTTCCGCAGATGAGCTTTATGGGGATGCTGACTTCATTTTCCAGCAGGACTTGGCACCTGCCCACACTGCCAAAAGCACCAAAACCTGGTTCAATGACCGTGGGATTACTGTGCTTGATTGGCCAGCAAACTCGCCTGACCTGAACCCCATAGAGAATCTATGGGGCATTGCCAAGAGAAAGATGAGAGACATGAGACCGAACAATGCAGAAGAGCTGAAGGCATCCTGGTCTTCCATAACACCTCAGCAGTGCCACAGACTGATAGCTTCCATGCCACACTGCATTGAGGCAGTAATTGCTGCAAAAGGGGCCAAACCAAGTACTGAGTACATATGCATGCTTATACTTTTCAGAGATCCGATATTTTTCTATGTACAATCCTTGTTTTATTGCTTGCATGTAATATTCTAATTTTCTGAGATTGTGGATTTGGGGTTTTCATGAACTGTTTCATAACCATCACAATTATGACAAATCACGGCTTGAACTATCTTGCTTTGCATGTAATGAGTCTATCTCAAATATTCGTTTCACCTTTTAAGTTGCATTACTGAAACAAGTGAACTTTTGCATGATATTCTAATTTTTCGAGTTTCACCTGTAAATGTTTGCTGAAAGAAATGTTATGTGGAATTGCAGATGTCAGGAGACATATGAAAGTAAGTTGAATGCTATAGGAATTGGTAATTTAGGGAGTATGTGTGGAAGAAGAGGGCAATAAAAGCAATACTTTACAAATATTTAATCAAAAATTTAAAAAAGCAAATAGCAAATGTATGAAGTATATAGATACTTACGATAGAAATTGTGGATATGATATAATTAAGAATGGTTTGCAAGGATATGTATAGAGAAAGATATTACAGAAGGACTAAATTGGATTTAGTTATATTTCCTTTTATTTATCTTTTAAGTTCATGTCCTGGTTTTGGCTAACTTTTGTTTATTCCTTTTCTAGACTTTGCATAATTTATGTATATTTATAGGGTGCTGTGTTAACGCCAGCAATGGATCATACAATGTCCATGCAGCCAACAAGTATGATGGGCCCCTTGACACAACAGATGAGTCATCTTTCCTTGGGCACTACAGGAACAGTAAGTTTAGAGAACGTGGTTAAATTTCACTTTTTAAATAGTGCTCTTTCACTCTATAGACTCCAGCAGCCTTTCTCAATTGAAACTCTGCATAGACCTAGGGTAGTGTTGGCAAACCTTTTCAGCACCGAGTACCAAAATGGGAGCGCGCACAGGGGGAGCACTAGAAACTGGAAGAGCAACTCTGTGGTATGTGCATGCAGGACTACTGGAAACTGGAAGAACGGCTCTGCGGTGTGCTTCCAATTTCTGGCGTGCACATGTGTGTCGGCCACCTAGTCTTCTGGGTTCCAACATGTGAATGCGTGTGCAAAGACCAGCTGACTGGTACACATTTGTGTGCCAGAAACTGAAGCTCAGCTTCCCAGCACAAAGATGTGTGCCGGGGAGCTGCTCTTCCAGTTTCTGGTGCTCTCATGCGTGCGAAGACCAGTTGGCCGGCACACATGCGCGTGCCAGATCCCAGAAGAACAATGACCAACAGCCATGCCCAGAGCGATGACTCTGTGTGCCACTTCTGGTATGTGTGCCATAGGTTCACCATGACAGAGTTCAAAGGGGTTGCTAGGGATTCTCTGACTTAAAAAATAAAAAATAAACATTTTTTAAATTTTATGTGGAAAGCAATGCTAGCACTTACAATGCTACAAACTTACAATGATAAAACCTTCGCTGTGCTGTTTGTAGATACTGTAAAATGTGTGGAATGTGTAGTTAAAAATGAATTGTACTGTGCAGTTTTCATGTTTTGTGAGATTTTTATGCAACAGATTCATGAAGATTGAAAATTATTTCAAAGATTACTTCACATCAAAAAGGTTGAGAAAAGCTGCTCTAGATAGTTCTCTATTCTTCAGTGTATGTCCATTTCTGTCTATTATTTGAGCATTATTAGCTAATAAAATTGTAATTTGTCATTTAATCACTTTCAATTTATTTAATATTAAATATTGATAACAAAATGCAGAGATAGTAAAAGTGATCTCAGTGCACAGCTGAAGATGTACAATATAAGAGTATCATAGTTTATTCAACACAGTAATAGTAGCATTTTTCTTTGAATCATGCTGTTTCAGGCTATTTTGTGCTGTTTTCCTACTCCAAATTACCCTAGTTGCCACTGTGCTCCATGTAAAACTTGCAGATATCCTCATAATTTTTGAACAGTTTTCAATATTTCATTATTGAAAGTAATGTCAATTCATTCTGTCTGTAATAATAGAATTTGTAATGTATAGAAATAATATAGTACAATTGAAATTCCTAACTACAAAAGTCCTTATTCATGTTATCTTTACTTTTGCTACAATTTTTAATTCCAAATTTGAGATCAGACTTCAAAATAAGGACATTGTAAGGCAGTCTATGGAAGCTCTTATAGTGACTGTTTTGGAAAAAGTAAATATCAAAGGTTTTCTAGGCAATCTCAGAATGCCTCAAGAAATATAATGTTTCTAACACATTACAATTGTGAATTAATGAGGTACTTATAATCTGTTTCATATGTAATTTCCACCTTTATAATCAACCTGTCTCTATCTTGCGTCAGTTTAAAACCTGAATCAGTATGCCTCCCAGTATCAGATGAAGTGAATTGCTGCTTATGAAAGCTTACACTTTTAAATGAACTTTGTTTACCCAAAAAGTTACTACCTCCAGAGGCTAACATGGCTCTTTTCTTACTATGCCATGTATGAAATATTTGCTTCATCATCCATACACAATATGTACAAACATATAATTTGCATTTTTTTCAGAAATTATGTGTGTCATGGCATACTGAACTCCAAGAGTGTGCAGTTGGTTAGTGTGAATTTTAATGATGACATTAAATTCTTGTTCTAGTTTGTGTCTTGTTGTGTTTGTGTCTATTATAGAAGACTAAATTGATTATGGTATGTGAGGGAAATATTAAATTGGTTAAAATATTATTAGTAACTAGTAAAATTAGATTTTCTTTAACTTTTTTTCTGTCAGCAAATATGAGCAACAGATCTGTCCAGTGATCATTTACTCTCTTTTTTCCTGTCTTTTTACATGACTAATTTATAGATTTGCAAGATAATAAAGTAGCAACTAAGTATTTAGATTGATATATGCTGAAAGCCAGAGTTGATTAATGAGAAAGTTTGCTATTTCTTAGAAACTGCTAAACCATAGAATGGTGTTCATTGACAATGCTACATTTGTATCAGTTGTTTGACTTTACCAGAAAAGAATGGCAGGAAATTAATGTTTGTGTTAATTTCCTGTGGAGCAAATTGTATCACTGATAGAGGAACTTTAAAACAAAGAAATCCATAGGCATCATCATCATCTGATTGGATTACCCTTACATATTGTGACCACCTTTTAACTTAATTTTTAAGTTAGGGACACATTTTTGTTTATAAGCATGCTCATGTAATGTAATTATAAACCTTAGATTGTCTACAGAGCTAAAGCATTTTCATGTTCATTATCACCTTTGGTAAATGGACAAAGCTTTTCATGCCAATATTGAGTACTGCCTAAAATAAAGTCTATGGATGCCCCAATATAGGAGGTTTACTTATTTATTTAGTCAGTCAGTCAGTTTTTTTGAGGCTGCCCAAATACATGATAAGTCTGATCAACCTATAACTAAAAAAATCTAAAAGGGAACAAAATACAAATCAAGAAAAAGAAAATCACTGACAAGAAAGCAGAACCAAAAAGACTAAGTAGCAGAAACAAAGCTTTCTAACTCTTGTGACAACAACCAACTCTATAGCAGAGGTGGTATTCAGCTGGTTCACACCTAATCGGGAGAACCGGTAGCAATAATTTGGCATGGGTTGCCGAACAGGTAGCGACTTCTGGCTGGCCACACCCCTGAACCAGTTCCCGGTCGCAGCTTGCTCACTTGCCCCGCCCAATGCTCGCCCCGCCCAGTCACTCCTCACTGGGTCCTCGTGGCTTAACTTGCTTTCCCACATGGTGCTTGGCCCTATGCTCCAACTGAGCAGCTCTGATCTTCCTGCTGAAAGGTAAGCCTGCGAGTCACACTAGCCCCCCCCACCAGCATCCCTGGAGCTTGCCTTCAGGGCCCCCCACTGTCCCCTGAACTTGCCAAGGGCCCCTCACCATTCCCGGCCTCACTTGGTTCGCTTCGTTGCTGGCGCGGCTTAGCTAGCTGTTCCCCCCCATCCCCGGGCTCATCTGGTGGGACCTGGAGGGCGGATGTCCTGGGCTGCACATGTGCACAATATGATGTGGCTGTGCCTTTTTTCATTCCCTCCCCCCCCCCCAGAAGGAGGACGCGGGCAACAGAGGCCGGAGCAGCAGCGCCGCTTGTTTTTTCCTCCTCCCAGGAGACACGCTGGTTCCAGCCTGGCCTGGCCAGCAGGTGGGCGGGCAGCCAGCCGTTGGGGGGCATCCCTACTGCGCTGGGGCTGAGAGGGGTGGCAGAGGTGCCCCATGCAGCAGCCCCAGTACTTCTGTCCGCCCCACCCTCCCGGAATACCACCGCTGTGGACGTTCACTTATTTCCTTTCATCCAGCTGTGTCCTCCTTCTCCCTGGGAGAAAGAAAGAAAAGTATGGGCGCAGCATGCTCAAGCTTCCATTGCCCTCTTCCTCCTTCTCCCCGGGGGGGGGAGGAAGAAAGGCACGGGTGCAGCATGCTCAAGCCTCCATTCTGCGGAGATGAAACTGCCGTCCTTTTTCCAGAGCAGCTCCATCCGTGAAAGAGACTCCTCCGAGAGATTCAGCAGCCCCCCACCCCCAGGATTTGGAGACTGGGCTCCGGTGGGAGCCTTTGCGACTGGATGGCATTACGAAAAGAACGTGGATTTTTCTGTACGTTAATTGTGGGGAATTGAGATATTCCGGGGAGCAGTTGATTGGCGCAGAGCATGAGGTCGAAGGGTCGATACAGGTGAAGGCTTTGCCCGTGCTTTTTTTCATGTCTACTCTTTTAAAACTCGTATATTCTCAGCAACCAGCCAGCCAGTGAGCTACCAGGCTCTGGACAAAATGCAAATTATTTCGTTGTTCAAACGGTTTGCGCTCCAGTTCCTCCCCAATGAGTGGCAAAGGTGTGGAGCAGCACGGGGCAAGGACTTCAAGGGAGGTGGAGGAGGAGGAGGCAGTCTGTTGCTGGTCGTGGCTGGTGCAGCTGCCCCGTTGGGGCAAGGTGAGGGGCAAGCAGGGAGGCGCAGCTGCAGGATGAGCATTGGGAGCTGCCTGGGGAGCTGCAAGGGGTGCAGGAGGAGGTGCGGTGTTTGTTGTTAAGGGCAGTGTTTGGATATGAGTGTGGGCTGTGGAGCGAACAGCAGTGCCCCGAAAGGGAGGGTGGCAACTCCCAGGGTAGTCTCTCCGCCCTCCGCTCGCCGGAGTACCTCCACAAGCTTTCTTGTTCTCCTGCTGATCTGGAGCTTGCTAAATCAGTTTGTTCCAGACCAGTATCACTAGAGAGTGGAGTGTGTGTGTTTGTTTCAGGTGGGCACTTGGAAGTGTGTGTGTGTGTGTGTGTGTGTTTGTTTGTTTCAGGTGGGTCTCCTCTCCTAGCTTTAGAAGGAGAGAAGGAGAGAGGGAAGCGAAGGGATAGAAAGAGAGGGAAAGAGAGAGAGGGAAACAGAAAGAGAGAGGGGAAAAAGAGAGGGAAATATTCTAGTCAAATGGTCTTCAAATTTGGCAAGTTTAAGACTTGTCGACTTCAACTCCCAGAATTCCTGAGCTAACATGACTGGAGGAGGAATTATGGGAGTTGAAGTCCACAACTCTTAAAGCTGTCAAGTTTGAAGACCCCTGTTCTAGTCCAACCCCCTGCTGCAGCAGGAGATCCTTACAGAATCATAGAATATCAAAGTTAGAAGGAACCTTGGAGGCCATCTAGTCCAACCCCCTGCTCCAGCAGACATTATATCACCTGGAATCTGGATTATTTTGGTGCCTCTAACAGAGAGGAACATTGGCAGAGGAGTTTACTAGGACAAGGCTGCCATGCAGAGGAAAGCAGAAATAGTCCTTCACTTATGA